CAGCAAACTTTATGTCGGTACTGGAGGCCGATGGTCCAGAGAATCAGAGAGCGCTCTTGTGCAGGAGGCCAGATCAGCGGACTCGAGAGCATGGCACAGACCTAGGAGAGCTGTCCCAGGACACGCAGCTTCTGGGATGCAGAGACTCCCGGCTATGTAGGCTCCCTGGATGCTGGAGGCCATCTCCGTGGGCCTTCAGGCCTGCCAGGCTCTCCAGGAAATAAATGTCTGCCTTTGTTGTTCTTCCACGGCTTCTAATCTCATACAAAATAGTTCAGGCTTGGGCCCTGACATGAGGCTCTGCGGCCCATGTTAGGATGGAGCTGTGTCTCACTCCATCTCTAGCCTCATCTAGTCTGGGGCCCGACACCCATGAATGTTCGGCCACGAAAAGCACAGACTGGATTTGAATCTTGGCTTGTTGCCAAATGGATGCCAAATGGATGATCTTGGGCAAGTTACTTAGCCTCTCTGAGCCAGTGTCCTCATCTGTCAAATGAGGATGAGGATAACATTTCTCGTATACATTATTGAGAAGATTCATACACTCAGAATGGTGCCTGGCGTTAGACAGATGCTGTCTAGGGGTTAGTGACTATTCTCATTCACTCATTCAACAACCAAAAACCACTTTATCTGTTCCTCTGCACCCTAGTCTTGGCCTCTGCCCTCAAGGTACCTGCCATGGGACTGGAGCAAAGCATACCTTACTTGCTCCTGAGGCTGCTCAGAGGTAGGACATGAGACTTCGTCCGCTCCCAGGATCTGGGATGAGCTAATGTGGCCCATCTGGGCTTTCCATGGTTTGTCGTGTGCACAAGGGACACCTTTCCCCTTGGTAACAGGGAGGTGTTTCAGTAGGATTCTGTGGTTTCTACCCTGAAAACTCCACAAGGAACAACCATCCAGTTTGTTCACTGGATGTGGCCCCTTGCTTTAAAAAATCCTTTGGGTTTTCTTTTTTTTTTGGTAACAGAGATGGAACTAGGGAAATGGGTAGGTGTGTCTGAGTCATAATGAGAATTTCCCTTTTCATAAGGAATCATCGGGATAACTAAGTCTTTAAATTCCAAAGGAATTCCACAAGCTCCCCTTCCCTTCCTCCTTCCTTCCCCAGCTGCTTGCCCCGTGTTCCCCATAGTTCTCACATCCCTCCTCCTCCTCCTAAAAGCCAGGTTGGTTTGCGCAGCCAGGCTCATGAACTCTCTTCCTCATACCCAGGCCTGGCGTGGGAGAGTCGGCCAAGGGCTGGCCCACAGCTTGGAGGCTGCCTTCCTCCTCCGACCCAGAGCCGAAAAGTCAAGAGTGTGAACGTCGGACCACGGTGGACCTCAAGCCTACCTGGGCTGGAGGCTTTACATGAGCCCCGGCTCCTAGAGGCGGAACGAGGCCCAGTAAAGCTACAAACCTGGAGGCAGAGGGAGTGTCCAAATGGAGCCTTTAACCCAGACGGAAACAGCTCGCTGCAAGACAGGGTTGGGGTTACTTTTTGTTTTGCTTTGTTCTGTTTTGCTGAATCTAGAATCTGTGTTTCAACACATCAGCTCTAGGTGGCAGTAATGCACCACAGAGCTTTGCAGGTCACTGGGCAACAGCCCGCCAAGCTTCAAGCCTCAAGGAACCAAGGACAATTTTTATGTGATTACCAGGTGCCAAGGCTACCTAACAGTCAGTCACCACCGTTGTCTCTTCTGGTCCACTGTGCTGGAGGAAGAAAGGAAAGAAAGCCACAGGCTTATGAAGACATTATATGAAGGATGCAATGGAATAAGAGTTGATGGGGGTTTGTCCAAATTCTGTCTTCTGTATTTACTCTCTCTGCTCTGTTTCTCTCTTTCTACACACACACACACAGACACACACACACACACAGGCGCACACACACACACACACACACAGAGACAAATATACTGAAGCCCGTGGAACTGAGGGAGTGTGCTTGAGCATTACTTTATTTTATTCCCCTGGATTTATTTGTAAGAGTTTGTATGTCAGTGTCCTCA